GAGGGAAGAAACTATGGTCCTTGAAACCCCCACCGGAATGCTTCTATGAATGCCATTCCTTCCAAGACATCGTTCAACCGGGAGATATCAGTGAGAACATCCCCTCTCTTTGTTTTTTTCCTTGTTCTTTAGTCGAAGTACTTCCACAGGAATCTAATTGAATATACTTGTGTCTGTTTTCATGTGATCAGTCGTACTGGACACGAACAAGTGGTATCATTCCACATTGATCGTGTCGGAGGAGATGAGCATCACCATCGGATCCGAATATGATTGATGTTTTACGTGAAACCAAGAAATACACCATTACGCAAACTGTCTACTTTTCCTCTTTCACAAACAAACATGGCCGAACACTCGCGAGTTGGAGGAAAATCGATTGAATCTGAGGCTGATTTCAAAATGGCCGTTCAGTTGCATTCGGTTCTAGTCTCGGTTCAGACTTTGATCTGACTGAAGTTCTCCTGTGGTATTGTCGACTTCTATCATAAAGAAATCCCAACAGGAACTACAACTCAACTAAAACCGGAACTGAACAGCTACTGAACTGCGACTGGACTGCATTATTTAAATCAGCCTGAGACTCTATTTCGATGGAAAAATATTCATTAGACTCGAAATTCGTCTGTTGTCATTGCCTGGTCGAAAGACTCAACAGGTGGAAAGCCATCCTCATTCACTTAAAGTGGACCATCTGAGAGGAAGAATTGAAACCATGTGATTCCGTTCGCCTCGTTTCATCACGAAAATACAGGTCGTGAAAAGGCAGTGTTCACGATTAAGGACGTATTTGTTTCTCAAACGCTAGCACAAATTTTAATGAATAAGAGAAGTGGCCTATATAGGAGACCTCCACATCATCGAGTCTTCACCGACCCTAACATATGCGTAACCACGTTCAATCCCCTTATACTTTACCCTGGGGAAACTCCGATCTCTCCTTGCGATAATAGTTAAAATGGCTGGGACTTAGACGTTTCTATTACTGGGAGAAATACTTCGGAAATATTTTTTCCTTCTCCAACTGAGGTCACATATGGCCTCGTCTCGGCTCAGTTCAGACAATGCTGTAATTGTACATTTGCATTTAGATATACTCTTAGGAGGCTAAACGTCAACACAGTATACCCTCACAAATAACGAGGTTTCATCAATTGTGATCAACTTAATGCATTTGAGGTGTACTTGTAAATTTTTATTCGGGTGCTGTGCAGTTAAAAAAAAGGAACGTGGGTGTAAAGACTCCGAAAAACAGGAACAAGGAGGAGTTCCACGGGAGGGGGAATCTGGGCGAAGGTTCGAGGTAAGTTTTCCCTTTCCCAGAATTTCCTCGCAGACTGCTTAGAAGCAATCCATTAGCCACCCATTCGCCGCCTGTTTTAGCAGAGTCAATTCGTTGCAACACTCACCGATTGTAAAATGTTTCCTACCCTGTAATTGTAAATTCGTGCATACCCTTTCTCTACCCGTAAGAAGATCCACGTATAAGCTGCTTGCCGGAAATGTTGAAAGTGTTCATCAGATATACGGTCAACCTTCGATGAAACGTCTCTGTTGGTCGCCGTCGATTTTGGCGCTATAACACGGGTGGAGCTAAATCGAATGAACCGGAATATGCTAGTGGCTACGATATAGAAATCTCCGAAGGTCAAATCGACTAAATGGATGTGAAGATTATATTGCCATTATTAAGTCTTCTCCGATACTCTACATTCGTCCTGTGCACTATTCATTCCACGGCAATGGGTCACCTCTCCAGGGGGTAAGCATATTCAGCTGTGGAATGGAAAAGAGTTGGGGCAAAGGTGACTAAAAACTGGTTGCGGCACGTACGGCTACTTGGCGCAAACTCAAGTAGGATTTATTTAGAAAAGACCATGTTTGTACTAATGATGGAGTTGGCGGATGGCGGGGGTGGCGCTATAACAGGGGAACGTCTATTATAAACTCATGGAAAGATTTGTTCTTAGGAAGAGCTGCGGTAAGTGAGATTGGCGGTATACCGAGTGGTGATATATTGAGGGTTGACTACACCAATTCCTGCCTATATCGTCGAATGCAACCCTGAGCGTAGAGTTCCAGTAAAGTTAGTTCATCCCTTAAGGCTGACATCCTCACTTCCAAGCGTTTCAGATCTTCCTTCGATTTAGGACAGCGGGGTATGAATTTTGAGTTTGTTTGCTTATGAATTTTGAAGGGAGCCAAGGCATTGTGGTTCCGCAAGTCAAAAGTGAAGTGAAAGCATGCGCTACATCTGGCCTGGAGCAATAGCTGAGGGACAACAGAAGAGAAGACCTACATAAGAGGGAAAATCCATTATAGTTCGTTGATATTGTGACTGATGAGGATGGCATCGAAAGTATCGATTGAATGTACTGCGTTCGGTGGTGTAATGGTAGCAAACCTTACCGGCAATAAGGAGGCCCGGGTTCAATTCCCGGCCGTTCATTGGCTTCTTTCGGCCTCTCATGCCGTCCGTCTTCCACTTTAGCTCTGAACCGATATGTCTTCTTTTGAAGGTAGGCCCTTCAACTGATCTTCGCCTCATTGCGGAGATCTTCCTATCGTGCATATTTTTTATCTGTTATTCCGTTATAGAAGTCACTATGGATTCTTGCACCAGTTTTCAAGAAATGAATTTCCGCGTACTGTTAAACTTATTTTCTATCTCACTGAATTGCGAAATTTACCGATTGTTTACGGAACCCTGACCACGGATGGGGCTGTCTACTGAAGACAAATTTTCCTTAGTTTGTACAGTTTCCCATTATCAATAATTTATTCACCCAATAATGTCTGACTGTCCAAGGAAAAGAATAATGATTTGAAGGGCACGATCAATGAGGATAGGAAGGGAAAGGAAAGATGTGAAAAGACAGAGGCACGGATGTACTGCATTCTCCTGACTTACAGCATCGTGTCATACGCCATGCACAGTTTCTGCTCCTATCGACGGGTTTCCCGCTCTAAGAGCCCTAACACCTAAGTTCAAGGGGAGTAGTGACGCCTCTCATCAAAGCCCAGGCGAAGGTTTAAAAAAAAGTACAAAGAAAAGATGTAGAAAGACAGAAAGACGCAGGTAGAGGAAGGAGAAAAACAGGTGGAGCAACCCTGCTTGATTTGTAATTCCTGGACACTCACGTGACTCTTCGTGTTCTCGCATCCCTCACGTGTTCTCGCATCCCTCACGAAGTCACTCTCTTCTCTTTCTTCCCATTTTATTTCCTTCATCGCAAGGTCTGCCTGAAATGTCAGATTTTCCATCATCAGCCAGGCCGGGGAAGCTCCTCGCCATCATCGGCGACGAGGTAAGATCATTTCATTCCCTTCACATGTCAATTTCGCAACTTGTGCGTCTGTAAGCTATTAATAAGGATCAGATTTTTTTTAAATTCAGGCTCATTTTTCTGCTTCGTTCCTTCATCTCGAAAAGAGGCGAAGAGACATTCGTCCTAGGAAGTTGCAGTGTGGTATTCTATGAGCACATTACCGCACGTTTCAGCGTTTGAAAATATAAGGCATGAAAAGACTCACTTTTTTTTAGATCTAACCAATTCACCAATAGACTAATTTCACAGTGATTATGGAGTGATGTGCTTCACACCAGTGCCGTACCGAGGGGGCTGCGAGCGGTGCGCCGACTTGAGGGGGCACCGATTGGCTGCCAAATACCTACAATATACTGTATTAATAAAACCTTTAAAAAAAATTGAAAATAATCCTGAATTTAACTAATCGGGATATCCCCCCCCCCCCCCCCCTCTATACCTCTCCAGCTACCCCAGCACCAACAATCCATTAAGTATTAATTTCTGCGCTTGATTTAGTTAAATTCAGGATTATTTTCAATTTTTTTTAAAGGTTTTATTAATACAGTATATTGTAGGTATTTGGCAGCCAATCGGTGCCCCCTCAAGTCGGCGCACCGCTCGCAGCCCCCTCGGTACGGCTTTGCTTCACACACATTTGGAGGCGTTCCCCTCAAAAGTTTAACGTTTTCGACAGGAGTTTCTATCACCTGCTTTGTTACAGCTACATTGCTCCCCCCCCCCTTCCTTTTTTTTGTTTCGTCTATGAAGGCATTTCATGTCTTTAACCTGTTCATAGGAGCAGAAACTGCATCTTCACATAGCGCGTTCCATGCATTGACTACCTGAAGAATTACAAAGCATTCTGAAGCAATATGCCATAATGAGTAATTCTGCAGTTTTAGGACAACAGATCCTTTCTCCGATTCTTCAAAATTAGGGATGGAGTTCTAGTCACTTCCAATACACACAATTTTAAAGCTACTAGGTGGACAGAGATAATGATTCTTTGAGGTTTGGATTCATCGCAGATTGGATGATAAAAATGTAAATACTTTCATTTGTGCGTGGGCTCTTGCCCCAGTCCACATTCTTTGTTGACTCTGCAAGTGGTTGCATAATAAGATGATGTGCCAACTTACATTCATTTTCTTGGGTTTAAGTGACTATAAAGACGAGGATCCTCTAAACATCGTTCCACCTTTTCTCGCAACGAGGCAAGCGCAGCTTTTGACGAGGCCACGAATGACAGTCGATAACGACAGTGATGATTTTGACTGCGACCTATATAATGATGTCCATCTCACTTATTAGACAGATTTTCCCTTTGGAATGAAGCAGTTACGTGGTTTTGAACCGAAATTGAAGGTCTCTCTCCTCAGCAGGAACAGACGAGAAGTACTTCTCTTACTTGAGGATAATGTTGATTGTCAGGGTGAAGGGAGTGGCACTCTGTGAAGTCATAGCAGTATTTGAGTCATGGGAGCACTCGTAGAGAAGAAGGCAGGGGAATTTTTAGGCTTTTGGGCCTTCATCCTGGCATATTGCGATAGAGGCCCATTTCTCTCGCCTTCCTACAGTTCAATATTCCACGATTTGATGCGGAAAGGAATTCATACTGAAAGCTCCACCGTGTTGCAACATAATGCAAAGAAGACAGATCGTGCCTTACCCTTGTCAGGAATTGTAGATTCGGATTCTTGTGTATCGATGTCGATAGACCGACTGATTGATCGATCGATTACTGATCGATTACATAGGATACATGCGTGGGTTTCCTCCTCGGCGGAATCGGACAACTGGATAAACACCGAAAATCCAATTTCTTCGTTGTCGACAAGAGTCTGTATCCTTCTGGTGCTCTCATACACATGAACTTTTGACTTCAACTGAAATAACCTATTTCCTTTTTTGCCCATTATGTCACGATCGTTTTGAAAATCACAGCCACGAACATCGAGGAAATTGAGAATGCTTTCCAGCAATTCGTGAAGAGGGACGACGTCGACATCATTCTCATCAATCAACACGTAACATAGACAAATTCTTTCCTTATCCTTTTTTAAAAATACGTTTTATCATTTTTCTTGGGAAAACATGCCAAGTCTCATTAAAACCACAGGTGGCGGAAGTGATTAGGAACGTGATCGACAGGCATACGTCTCCCATCCCGGCAGTGTTGGAGATCCCTTCAAAAGACTACCCTTATGACCCAAGCAAGGATTCCATTCTACGACGAGCCAAGGGAATGTACACGGCCGAAGACTTCCGCTGATGATCCTTCACTTCAGCCGTTATATAGTCCATTCCACGCCAACATATAATCTCAGTCCTAATAAATTCAAAGTCATCATGTATCGAAATTAGTACATCATATTGCATTACTTCCAGGGTTGGGATCTCTTTGTCACTGAGAAGGTATGGCTCATGCTGGTACTACCCCCACTCTTGGCTCATTCTGTAGCGATTGGGGTCATTATCCAAGTCATGATTGCAAAATGCATTCAGCACCATTTTATGACATGACTCAATTTACAATCGAATTCCCTATGTACTAAAAGCATTAGATTCTGAGGAAATTTAGGTCATGGGTGTTCACTTTCTGGGAGAGTGGAAATCCCCAACTTGACAGCGCTGGCTTGCTAACCCTAAGGGCCTTGAACTGGACCAGAGCTTGTTCAAATTTGCCACCCCTACATTTGGATCTAAATATGTAAATGATTCGAACTTCAATTACGAAAGAGACAGATAAAGAAGGGAAAATAGACTTAAAAAATAGAAAGTGACAGATAATGCGGTATGAATTTTGAGGAAATAGGTACATTCAGATTTAATTGTTTTTCACTCAGATAGCTGAACGTAGAGCAGCCTGTAATTATGGCTTGGCTTTTGCATTAAGGCAATTTGCTTCTACACAGAAGAGAACTCTGCCTATACTAGACTGATCAAAAGGGAACGGAACTTTGGCTGCAGCTCATATATTACTAGTCGAAATCGCTAACCACTTTGCAGGCGTCAACAATGTTCACTTTGCGACTCATGGTAAAATGTTCAGTGGTCTTTCGTTTAAGGAATTCTGTTGGTGCTAACAAAAAATTGCCATGGTTAGTAACATTCGGCGGATTTTATTTGAATGCCAGCGCTGAAGCAAAGGGCAAAGATGAAGCTCTGAAAATCGTTCAACGAGACTCAAAAGCTTTCGAAGCAAATGTACCTAGGAACAGCAGGTACTTGCTGTGAATATCTTTCGAAGCATCTATAGATGCCGCTTCGAAATGTCAGCTCTGCTATCTACTGGCAGCAGGAAGCACCACCTCACCCACAGCCGCCCGTAGATGCCGCTTCGAAATGTCAGCTCTGCTATCTACTGGCAACAGGAGGCACCACCTCATCCACAGCCGCCCGTAGATGCCGCTTCGGACAATCCGCTCTGCAATCTACTGGCCGCAGTAGGAACCAGCTCATCCACAACTGTGCTGTAGATGCCGCTTCGAAATGTCAGCACTATCTACTGGCACCAGTAGGAACCAGCTCATCCACAACTGGGCTGTAGATGCCGCTTCGAAATGTCAGCACTGCTATCTACTGGCACCAGCAGGAACCAGCTCACCCACAACTGGGCTATAGATGCCGCTTCGAAATGTCAGCTCTGCTATCTACTGGCAACAGGAGGCACCACCTCACCCACAGCCGCCCGTAGATGCCGCTTCGAAATGTCAGCTCTGCTATCTACTGGCAGCAGGAGGCACCACCTCATCCACAGCCGCCCGTAGATGCCGCTTCGAAATGTCAGCTCTGCTATCTACTGGCAGCTGGAGGCACCATCTCATCCGCAGCCGCCCGTAGATGCCGCTTCGGACAATCCGCTCTGCAATCTACTGGCCGCAGTAGGAACCATCTCATCCACAACCGCCCGTAGATGCCGCTTCGAAATGTCAGCACTGCTGTCTACTGGCACCAGCAGGAACCAGCTCATCCACAACTGGGCTATAGATGCCGCTTCGAAATGTCAGCTCTGCTATCTACTGGCAGCAGGAGGCACCACCTCACCCACAACTGTGCTGTAGATGCCGCTTCGAAATGCCGGATGGAACCCTTCGCCTAGACCTACTAGGAAATTTCGGATTGCACCGTCCTCCAGAGTTCCCGCGAAACGGCGGATGCCCTGCACATGCCGCGGTTGACTTCGTTTCCGGAATGTCCGTCTCTCGAGAACTAGAACCTGAGGTACTTAGATGTCTCCAACTGCACCATAACATTTAAGGCGCACAGTAAGACTTCTCCTGAAGACCATACCATGTGTTTTGGAGGCACATTTTAGTTCCGATCACAGTCCATTCCTAGTCGAACCGGTCGAGCATGCATTGAAGCTACTGTCAAGATAGGACTAAATGGACACCATCTTGGGCAAAGAGAAGTCGCTTTACTTCGATGCCATCGATGCCGACCCCATTGAGACCCAGCCTACGCCTTGAGATCCCATCTATGTACGAGAGGAACAGGAAAAGAGAGAGAATGCAGCCTTGACGAAGTCCACCACGTACCGGAAACGGGTTCGAACCCATCTATTTCACTCGAACACAGCTTCTGCAAGCAATGTGTAAAGGCTTGTCCACACCAGGAAAGTTTTATTGCTGATAGATGCAAAAAATTACAAAACAAAAAAAAAAGTAAATTAAACTTTGGAATAAATCTTCCAAAGCATTCAAATTCTAACATATAAGGTTTTCAAAGGTGTCCTCGCCACGAAAGATGTCTTTGCATATTGACTTGGAAAGAAAAAATTGCCTGGGAAACGTTCATGGTGTGGACGAGCCTTAACACTTGGCGGTCCTTTGTCCCACTGGGTGGGCCATCGATACCTCTAAAAAAAATGTACTGCAAAGGGTAAAGGACAGAATGGCCGACCGAAAGTAGCCAACCGTTAACTCCTTACTCCTACGGCGAGAGAAATGAACTGCTTGCATTTGGTGCATGTCACAAATCAGTTTAACGATTAGTTCGACCCATTCTTAAATATATTTACCTGGAATCAGATCAGTTTAGCTCCTAAACGATGCGTCACTCAATACTTCTTCTCTTTCCAAGTGCAACAACACCGCATTTAGACGTGTTTAAATCGTGGATGAATGTGTTCATAGAAACGTGATCCTTATTTTCGGTGGTGCATATCAAAGATAAACACATTCTTAAACATGCTTTAGCAAACATGTTCATCTCGTTTTTAAACTAATCTGATTCCTCAGTTGATGCATGTCTCCCAGGGTCCGACGTCTCCAGAAAAATAGGGCTGCGCGGATCAGGTAGAAAACGTTAAAATGTGATGGTCACCACGGAATCACAATGATTATTGGGTCCAGATTATCCTGGGCTACGTCAGGTTCGCTATCTACTGATAGCAGTAGGAACCAGCTCGCCCACAGCCGCACGTAGATGCCGCTTTGCACAATCAGCTCTGCCATCTACTGGCAACAGTAGATAACCAGCTCACACACAGCCAGGCTGTAGGTACCGCTTTGAAATGTCATCTCCGCTATCTACTGGCAACAGTAGGAACCAGCTCACTCACAACTGGGCTGTAGATGCCGCTTTAAATGTCTGTAGTACAATCGGCAGCAAAAGACACACTTGGTTGAGGACAAAATATTTGATTGATGGGGCGGGGAGATGCAGGGAGTCAAAGAGATACGAGTATATCTGGCCTCAGGTAGGTCATTGGGGGGCTAAAGGTTTATGACACTTCAGTGTTGTCAGATAAAGAACAGCACCTTTCAGTCAGCTGAGAGAGGTCCATTGGGATCCCCTTCACCCGATTGAACGAAAGAAAGTCGGCAACCCTGATTTTCAAGGAAAATCCCTCCATTCATGATGTCTCAGGTGAGGAGCATAAGTGATATTTAATGACCGAGGCTCCCCCTTGACCTGTCACATCGAAGCCGCAAGTGTGTCTTTTGAGGCCGAATAGACTATACCCTTCCGCCGTTTCTCGTTCCATCTTGAAATTGGGTATGGATCAATCTGCCAATGGGCCCCATTTTGAGTCGAAATGTTCAAAGTTTCCTTGCTGCACGCATGATGTATGGAAAGTCAAGCCATCCTTTCTGAAATATGCCTAAATAGAGCTCATGAGATGAAGGGGATCATGAGATGCATTATTCAAATTGTTCACATAAGTCTTATGCTACCACAATACCAATGAGCCAAGATAAGGAGAAGGCTGGAATGCTGGCTAAAAGGGTAGCAACGTTAGGTCTGCCATCCACTTTCAGCAAAAGGAACCATGGGAAGTCCACTGCTGACTGTAAATGTCGCTTCAGAAAGTCAAATCTGCTATCTAAAATTTCAAAATGGGATTTCAAATGGTCTTTAATGTGTCAAGAAAAATAAATCACATCATCAAGAAAAATGACGTAAGCACGTCGTAAATACATTCGGACACTGGAATGGATTATTAACACTTTCACAATGAGAGACAGATTTGAAACTATATGGACGAGTTAGGGTTGAGTATGGACGAAAAGCAATCTCTGTCCAAATTTATTTAGAGCATTCTTGGGAATATGTTTTCATAAGAAATCTGTGGCTTTGGCATGAATGCTGGAGTTGGATTTCAAATGGACATTAATCTGTCAAGAAAATAAAATACATCATGCATACATACAAATACAGAAAAAGGATGTACGCTGCTTGAAAATCCATTTGGGAAAAAGGATTCCAGTCACCAAAACTTTCACAATGAGAATTGGGATGCGGTTGGGTATGACGGAAAGCGATCTTTGTACAAATTCGTGTGATGAATCACATTCTTGAGATTTGTGCATTAGAATGCAATGATTTTTGGCATTGATGCTGGAATTGGGCCCCCGCCTCCAGGAGGGTTGAAACCTCTTCTTGGTCATGCTTGGGGCGCTACCAGTTCAACCAGCAATCCAGCCTTTTCCTCATCTCGACTCGTTGTATTTGTGGTAAAACTCTTCCACCGAATACCATTCCATGTTGAAAATGAGTGTGACTCCTTCTTCAGTTTCTGCCAATGGTTCCCATTTTGAGTTGAAATGTTCATCGTTTCCCTATTGCACGCATGATACTTGGAAGCCAAGCCGTATCCTGGAACGCATCCTTTCCTGAAATATAACTAGTTTAGGAAATCATGAGATGCACGTTTCAAATGGTTCATATAAGTCTTATAAATGGTTGATTTGCCAAGTGTCAAAATGAAATCTGTCAAAGATCGCATTTGTCGACTATAGAATATACCATTTGGAAAAATGTGAAATAAAAAATGTTTTATATTGTGACGGATGAGGATGGCATCGAGAGGCACGACTGAATGTCCTGGGTTCGGTGGTGTAGTGGTAGC